CCTTTACACATGACTGTGGAGACAAGCACTTCTGTGGTGCTTGGAATTCTAGAGTATTGATTTAAAAACCAATATTGCTAAATTGAGGCTCAAGAATGTGTCATTGTTAAAATAACTTGTTTTATTTAAATATATAAATAAATTGTAACCCTAACATGTTTTCCAAGTGTAATATATCTGTAAACGCTAGAGACACAAAAATTGACGTTTCTGTAGAATGACCCAGGTGTACTTTTATGGGTGAATATTTTAGACATTTATCTTCACACTCTCCAGAATGTGGTGTCTCCTTTCTTATGATTTCTGAGGAGATGAAACACCAAAAGGCTGATTCAATAAACGACTGCATACTCTATACTATCTAGTATACTATAGTATACTATCTACTATAGATAATCTATACTATCTACTATACTATCTATAGTATATACTTATTCTAATGCTTTGTAACGACTGGTACTGATGGGTTTTATGCAAATAAAGTGGCATAAAGGCTAAGAAACCTTAAAACTACAGTTTTAACATAATGTCTCATTCAGATTCCATGGTAAGCACATAAACCAGAAACCAGAAAGCAACGGTGCGAGAGCGAAGTGGGCTGACAAACCAACCCCTCAAAACAAGTCTGGTCTATTACACCCACCTCTAATTCCGCCATTCTGTTTCTTTTTTTCTACAACTACCACTTCCCTCAAACGCAGTGTGTCAGCTAGAAAGCCGGCCCCACCAAACCAGTCCCTAACTGCCTCTCCCTGCCTCTGGAAAAAAAAAAAGAAAAAGAAAGTCTGTGTCAGACAGTAACAAAGCTGAAGGCAGCCTCTTATTCGAAGTTTTCCGTTCCACCTTAAATAGCGCAGCGGTTCCATTCTAACGACTCGGCTCTGTTGTAGCCTGAACCGCCAGATTGTAACTGCTGCACCGTTTAAGGTGGAACGGGAAACTTCGAATAAGAAGCTGCCTTCAGCCTCGAGTGTCAGTGGGTCAGTGACACATGGAGGCCGGGCACTGACAAGCACACGCAGCTCAGAGTGGAAGCAGGAGGGGGGGAAAAGGGGGCAAAAACAATGACAAACCTTGCATCTCCCGCTTTGGAGGCGCAGTCCCTCAGCGTGCCTGGGATTTGGGTAAAACATGAGGGCCAGAGGAAAAAAACAAAAAGGGACCAATCAGAGCGCTCGACCGTGGGTCGCCTTTGGAGAAGAGCCAATCGCATCGTGGCTCATTGCTCGAGCGGACTGGGGGAGGGTTTAGTGCAGGAAACCGAAATCTGAGCACGCTGTGGGGTGGGGAAGGAGGGGGTAGGGGTGAACGGGTGTATGGGGGGTGGTTAAAGGGGAACGCCACCAGTTTTTAAAAAATGTCAACATAATTCAGTGGTTGAGATATAAACGAGGTCATTCAGATTGGTTTGCATGTGAGTAGAAGTGCAGAAGTAACAGGTAAAAGTAGCAGTAAAAAAAGCAGCAAACATCTCTTTCCTAAAACATTAGTAACTAAATGAAAATGAATAATATGTAACTGAATACAGGCTTCACAGGTATGTGTTTAGCATCATGATTTACTTCTGTCCTGTTACAAATTAGTTTAGTATTCATTTGTTTATCTACCTATTTGTTTATACACAATAATATGAGTGTGGTGGATGAGGGTCCCTCCAAGTAGGATGTCGCCTAGAGCCCCCAAATGTTGGTGAATTTCACCAAACTTTCAAAATTTCAGAATAATTTGGTCCTTGAGATGTAAACAGAGTCATTCAGAGTTGTTTGATGTGAAATGGTTTACTGTAGAGAAACTTACAGACTCTGATTTCTTCACAGTGAAGGTGATAGGAACCAGGGGTCCTGATGTCTACAACACACATATGAACATTTTTTACTATCAAAACCACCAGTGAAGCTTAACGCGTCTTCTGAGTTTTCATGTATAATGTTGATGATGGTCAAATAAGCATAAATCTGAAAAAAAAAAAAACTTTGGGGACTATTTAGCCTTAGAATACCCTTCATCATGAACAGATTAAAACTGAATGCTTTGAATACATTTTAGGCCACATTATATCACAAAACTCTACACCACTTTGTGTAATATTTTTCTGTACTATAGCTTTCAGAGGCGTTCAACTCTTCAGACGTCTGGTTCCTATCACCACCACTGTGAACAATCCTGATTCAGTACATTTCTCTAGAGTGGAGCATTTCAAATCACAACCACTCTGAATGCTTACATGTTAATGATTTAATTATGCACATATTTTGACAGAGAGATTCTCCTCAAAGACCATTGACTTAGGTTACTTTACGCTGCTTCTGAAAGATTTATACTTTGTCCTTCCAGAAAAAGAGCAAGACAGACGTGAAGCTAAGCCATCTGTAGAAATGGCCCAGAACAGCCCCATTTGGACCCAACAAACAAATATATTAGAAATCTCATCTTTACACAGCCAGATTCAGTCACGCTTAAAATGTACCGCAAATACATTTTGATAATTTACTAAAAATAACATAACTTTAGTTATAATCCATGGGATCCAGGGATCGTGCCTTTAGCCTTTGAGGAAATCAGTCAAAGAGAGACAAATCCTCATTTGAAGACCTGAAATGTTCCTGATCTGACAGAAATATGAGGACACACCCATTTTACAAACTTAGTGTTTTACAGTGGAGCCCTTTATGTGCGGGCTGCGTGCCAACAAGCGTGGGCTACTTGTGGTCTAAGCTAGTGTGTAGAACACTGGCCGCTGTTGCTAGAGTGCTCCAAACCAGTATTCCAGCCAAGTACACCAGAATTCAAATCGCACCCTTGGAGGACAGTATACTGTCTGTCCTTGGAGTACAGACAGTACACCTGGCAGGACTCGTATTCCCAGATGCCCCCTCAGTTGGAATGCTGTGCCCCCTCAGCTCTGAGTTCCTGTTCAGTCCTGCCCGGTAGTCCTTAAATTACATTCAGGGGAGTGATGTGGATTTCCTTGCTAAGCAAATTGATAAGATATTGCCTGATATGAGCCTTTCAGATGTATTTTCATTTTTCTACACAGTTCTGCACAGTTTGGTGATTTTCCAGCTCAAAGTGAAGTCATCAGTTAGTTTAGCTGTAGTATTAAGAGACGGAAAATCACACAACTGTGCTGACCCTCCAGGACCAGAAATGCCCCACCCCGATACAGACATACACCCCTCTCAGTCATAACAGTAGTGAAAGCAACTGTGGAGGGAGTGTCAGTAATCATCAGTTACTGATGAATTCTGTCAGTGAAGACAGTTGTGCACCCTTTTGCTCCTTTCCATAATGCAGACTAATGGATTTATATCACCCAGGGTTCTTATTACAATGTACTAGCTAGTGTATAAGTATGTAAAATTGTACTAAATCTACTCTGGTATCCTCACCAGAGTGTAATAGTTAATGTAACAGAATACAGAATGATTATAGATGTAATATAGCGAGTACTGCTATAGTACTAGTGTACCAAGATACAGAATGTTTTAACTCTACTCATACTGGCCGAAGGTGGACCACCCACTGGGGTATGTGTAAAAAAAGCTTTCAGGTCTAACACCTGTTAAGCATTATTCAGCAATAGGCAATATTCAGCATTAGCATGAGTACTTAGGCCTTTTGTGCTCTTCTCTTCTTAATGTATCCTTAATCTCAAATAAATGATAAACCTCAAAAGTCAAACGTGTGACCAATCACAAATCTGTACTGACGCTGCCACCAACAAAAACGTAATGATATAACATAATGAACCTAAACACAAAAAAAGGAATTAGCAACTAAATGTTGATGATTAGTTTAATTAAAAATATAATTAATTTCCTCACAAATATACTTTAGTTTTGTCATTTACATTTATCTGAATCTACTGAGTAAATGTAGAGTAAACGGACTGAGTAGATTTACACTAGACAGTGTTCTTATTCGCAGAGGTGAGTAGTAACTTTACATTTATTCAGTAAATCATTTTACTACAGTTGTTTCTTAAAGTGCCTTCCGCCCAGTGACAGCAGGGATGGGCTCCAGCACCCAGTCGCAACCCAGAGGGAGAAGCGGTTTAGATTATGTTTGTGTGTGTGTGTGTGTGTGTGTGTGTGTGTGTTTCTTAAAGGGGAACTGAACTTTTTCAAAGAGTCTTCATAATTAAATGGTTGAGATGTAAACAAAGCCATTCAGAGTGGTTTTGTGTGAAATACTGCATTCTAGAGAAACTTGCTGGGTCAGAATTGTTCACAATGGTGGTGATGGGAACCTGAGTTTAATGCCTCTGAAAGCTACCGGCCTGATGTCTGATACACTGTTTTATGACAGTTATGTGATAATTTTTTCACTTAACATGTATTTTAATCTATTCATGGTGTAGGGGTATATGCAGGGCGATGTAAGGCATAATCCCTGAAGAAAACTTATTGATTTCACTTTCATCACAATTTCACTTTCACAATCATCAATATTACATAGAAAACTAAAAAAAAAAACACGTGTTGGTTCGCTGGTGAATGACTTTGTTTACACCTCAAGGACTGAATTATTCTAAATTTTTGAAAAATTGGTGGAATTCACGATTGATCTTTGGGGGACTTGGAGGGCCCCCACCTACCCCACTTATGTTATTGTGTATAAACAAATTGATTGATACATAAATGAATACTGTATTCGTTTTGATGAGGAAGTAAACATGATGCTAAAACTCACGTGTGGAGGCTTTCTTTTCAGTTACATTTTATCTTTCTTTATATTTCTTTACATTTTAGAATAAAAATCTAATAAAAAATTAATTCTGTAAAATTCTTTAAGTTACTGCTACGTTTACCTGCTACTCTTGCACTTCTACTTAAGCTTTGTTGGGGGGGGACTTTTAATTCCATTTGAGTCATTAATTCACAGAAGTATGGAATTCAGGCTACTCAAGTACTTCTTAAATACAGTGGTCACTACATCACCCTTCAGACCGAACGCTGCCACGCTGCGTGTCAATAGGGGTCAGTACAGAAACAGGTCGCGGCTAAAACTACCGTGAGGGCAGCCGATGAGCAAGAGCGCAGACTGTTCTCCCCAAACGAAGATGGCGGTGCAAGAAACAGCTGCTCAACTCTCCATGGCTCTGAAGGTGCAGGAATATCCGACTCTCAAGGTCTGTGGACGCCTTTTCACCCCTTTACAGCCCACTGACTGGAGTGCGGGGGTCGGTCCTGCTGATCTAGGCTGGCGTCGCGGTAATCTGTCGACTGAACGGAGGTATCAGGGGAGCGAGAATCAGCCGAGGAGTCTGCGAGCTAGCGGATGCTAAACAAGTTAGCAAAACAAGTCAGAGACGGGGAGAAAGACAGAGAGACAGAGAGAGACCTGGGTGGATGGATTTCGAAGGGTTTTGACACTGTGAGGCGAAAAGCTAGACGGTTTTGTTTGTCTCTCGTTGGGTAGCAGCAAGAAACCATCGCGCTAGCGGCTGTGCTGTTACAGCTTTAACAGCAGCGTTTCTGTGCTGTGGCTGGTTTTGTTCAGTAAGCGGGTCTTTAGAGGCTGAGCCACAAATAACATTACTGACTGCCTGTCTGCCATTAGAAGCGACCCTGCTGCGGGCAAACGGGCCTCAGCACCCACTGAAATAGGCTGAAGTAACGTAAACGGCTATCTAGCTAACCTTACTCAAAATAGTGAACGGGCAAGTGGAGTAAATCCCAACATATGAGAATGAGTTCGTGTCAGTTTGGCTGAATAAATAAACAACGTTTAGCGTAGCAAACCGGATGAATATTAATTGTCCACTCTTGTTACCAATATAAAAAGGTATATGCTGGAATACATAACGCTAATAGCTTGTTACATACTCAAATAAGCCGCTAGGTCAGCTGCTGAAATGCATAATAAAATCACGAGGCTGAAGTTGGCTTCCTATTCGCCTGCTTCTTGTTCGAATTCGCCCGTTCCACCTTAAATGGTGCAGCAGTTACATTCTGGCCTCAGGCACCAGAATGTAACTGCTGCACCATTTAAGGTGGAACGGGCGAATTCGAACAAGAAGCTGACTTCGTTGGTAATTATCTAGGTTAGCTGCTGGAATAAATACACGTCCTGCTCGCTTTGTAATCGCTGCTGCTGTCAAGTAGCTAAGTAGCCGTTTGGCTAGCGTTAACATAGCTGGCTACTGGCTAACATGACGTAACCTGAGATGTGAGCAGTTAGCTTAGCAGACTGTTCCTGTTCAAACAAACGCCAGCTTGTCATGTAGAGTTACACAAGCGGCGTAGTGGTTAAGTATAGGGGCGATTTTATTTACAGAAAGTCCCCAGGTGTTCGTAGCTGTCATCGTCTACACAAGACGGTTAGTAAGTGACCTCTGGCTGGCGTTAGTCGCCAAGCCAGCCAGCCAGCCAGCCAGCCAGCCAGGCTGTGTTGTAGCCAGAGGAGCTGGCAGCTCCTGGTCACCCATGCTGGAGGAATGCACATGCCTGGGAGCCACAGCTCAGCCGGACGGGGGTAGGTTATGTGTGTTAAGGACATCGGGTTTAATAGCTATCTTACTCCGAATAGCAGAAAGTGCTCAGATCGGACGAGATGAAGGCGCACATGTAAACCTCTCCGTGTCTGGGCGTGATGGGAGCCCAACGTTTGATGGCTGGCATGCCACCTTTGTTCTCTGCGTCACAGATATTTTCCTTTCATACTGGAGGAATCAAGCATGTAGTCTTGAGGATAACGCCGATCGGGATGCTTCTCCACCGTATCTGATGAGCTGCTGGATTTTGTGTGTTATCTGGACTAAATTAGGGAACATTTGTTTCGCTGTCCTTTTCTAGTACCGGCACAGAGCACGCATCCAGAATATAAATGATGCAGGCTCTTCATTGCCTGCTGTCAGGTTTAAGATCAAGAGCAAGAAGCAAAAGATCATTTGGATGCCGTGTTAAAGATGTGTGATTTCTTGTAGCCTCGTTGGCTGTATTGATAATAATACTGATGCTGCTGACAGCATTACCTAACCAACTGACTGATAGGGTTAGCCTAGCCTTTGCATCACAACTGTGTAGGTGTGGTGGATATGGACTTATTGTCCAGGTTTACTGGACAGTGTTTTGTCTCACTGGTGCACAAAATGACAGAAAATCAGCTTTCCTGGTTACATTTACTGTAGCAATGCATAAAGTGCAGGCCTCATTTTAAACTACAGCTTTAGAACCAATAATTACATTGATATGGAGGGTAAAGCCTTTATTTCTAATGTGCATGTTGGGCTGAGCTGAGAATTTCTACATCAAGAAATAGAAGTCTTAGTGTATCACGTTACGCCCTGATCTGTATTACTTTGTTAGGCCAAACTGCTGCAACTTGAAAATGTTGGATAAAGCATTATCAGGAGGCTTCAGGTAACAGCCTATAATTGCATAAAACGGCTGCATAGGAATGAGCTGTATATTAAGGTTGTTAAAGTAGTCTGTTAATTAACTAATATTTAAGGTTAGCTAACATACTTGAATGACTCGCTGTGATTGTGTCCCGATGGGATGATTGTTTAAATGCATATAACACTTTAAAGAGATAAGGGTGCTTAATGTAGATTGCCTGACAGTTATATTCACATTAAAGCTGTAAATAATCCCATCTAGCCCAGTGGTTCTCAAACCACTCAGGGCCACCCAGACGTTGGAACATTTTTGCTCCAACCAAACTCACAATACATAGGGATCGAGCAAAAATGTAGACTGTCCCTCTTTTATGCATTATTGTTAAAGGACAGGTTAGCTGTTTTGTAGCCCAGACATTGTAAAACCCGTAGTTTTTCGCCTAAAGTGTCATGGATGTTATTGTATATAACAGTAATATCACATTTGATTTTTAGAACTAAAAAGTCTTACTTTCTGTTCTAGGTTTCTGTATGGCAAACTGTTAACATTAACTACAAGAGGGTTCTTCCTGTGTTTTTAAAACGCCATGCAAGCCTAATTTACCCACCCTGCCAATGCAGCCTGTAGAGAACATAGGCCATATTTACACCGCTGGCAAATCGGATTTGTGTCTCAAATCAGATCTTTTGAGACAACTGTCTGCACTCGTCATTTGCAAGTGATCAGGTGGGATTTGTGTGTCCAGACATCACCAGTCTATCTGCGTGGGTTGCTGTGGTAACGACATGGGCATCAGTAACTACATAGCTACGCTGGTGGCACTGATTTTAAATGCGGATGCAGGAGAGATGGAGGTGCATTACTTCACCCTCCAAACTCTTCAAAATTCTATGGCATAAGCTTGAATGTTTGGCACTCTTTTTGAATTCCAGCACTACCAACACTCTGGATTTGACATTGCCGTTGCTTGTTGCATTGCAAGTAATGCGAAAGACACTTTAAAATCTGATTCGAGCAGCCAGAGCGTCCTGACTGAGACGCATTTGAAAAGTCTGATTGGGTTCACGTTTCAAACCGCCTGCAAATGTGGTTTGGATCCCATCAGAAATGGGATTTCATGTGGTGCTTTGCTGTCCAGGCTATCAAAAACCAATCTGGATATCATCTGGACATGCCAGAAATCAGATTTGGGCTGGCAGTCTGAACAAGGCCTTAGTATGTCAGAATCTAAAGCCTCTGATTCATAATTTTCTGTCCATAAATGGTCCTAGAGCCTCTTTTCATGTAGCCATAGTATAATATAAATATATGTATATATTTGAATATAATTGAATAATGATTATTCAATTATTTAGATGTAAGCAAAGTCATTAGAATATAGTTGTTGTATTTAGTATCCACAATGACCAGTGAACTTACACATGTGTTTTCAGTGGTAAATCAGGAAAAAAAAAAGCTTTGGGGATTATTTTGCCTCACAACATCTGCATGTACATTTTAAGCCAAAACCATCTCTCAGAACTATCATAAATCAGTAATTCGAGCATTAGGCAGTGTATTCGTAACTATTTAATGTAATAACTTTCTGTGAGGGAACTTTTAGAGGGATTAAACTCTATCACCCTGACTGTGAACAGTTTTGCCTCAGCAAGTTTCTCTAGAACAGATCATTTCACATCAAACTGCTCTGAATGACACTGTTTATGCTTTAAAATATGTAGAAATTTAGAGAGGTAGATGAAATTCCTCTCTGAGAACAACTAAACACCACACACGATTGTGCTGTGACCTTCCATTGCTTTTTTTTAACCATAAAGGAATTTATTGTAGACTGATATGGCTGGTCAGGTACCTTAATAATATTGTTTATGCACAATTTAGGTTCCTTATGAGACCTTAAATAAGCGCTTCCGTGCGGCTCAGAAGAACATCGACCGTGAGACCAGTCACGTGACCATGGTGGTTGCCGAGTTGGAGAAAACCCTCAGCAGCTCCTTCCCTGTGGTGGATTCTGTGGTCTCCCTTCTGGATGGTGTGGTTGAAAAGCTAAGCGCACTTAAAAGGAAGGTAGGATGCTATGGGAACAATTCATTACTGTGGAATATTCCCTGACAGGTTATACAAGTTGTTAGCAGCCCACATAGCTTTTAAAAGCAGTCACACACTTTTATCTTTGTAACATCAGTGTTTTTCCAAGAAGATCTGTCATCTTTTCCATCTCAAGCACTGTTGACTGGAGAAGGGTTTTAACAGATTTTGATCTTTTGAAGGCGGCAGAGTCCATCCAGGCAGAGGATGAGAGCGCTAAGCTCTGCAAGCGACGCATTGAACATCTGAAGGAGCACAGCAGTGACCAGCCAGCCAACGTCAGTGTGTGGAAAAGGAAACGCATGGACCGTATGATGGTGGAGCATTTGCTGCGCTGCGGCTACTACAACACTGCAGTCAAGCTTGCCAGGCAAAGTGGGATTGAGGTGGGTCTGCTCTCTGCTGTGCTGCTATCTGTAAAGGGAAGGGGAGGTGAATAAAAGCAGAGAATGAAAAATTGGTAATAAAAAGTTGCCATGTTTTTTTTTTTTTTTAACTGTTGTTGCTGCTGTTTATGCATTATTCAACCAGGATTTGGTGAACATTGAGATGTTCCTCACTGCAAAAGAAGTGGAAGAATCGCTAGAAAGACAGGAAACAGCCACCTGTTTGGCCTGGTGCCATGACAACAAGTCTCGTCTGCGGAAAATGAAGGTAAGGCCGACTTGGTGAGCTTTAATTTAGTATTAAAAGGCCCCTATCATGGAAAACCTTTTTAAAATGGAAGTGAAAATCGAAATGTTCCTCTGTAGAAACTGCAAAAATATAGCCTGTTTTGAATTCATTGTTTTTGTGATGTCACAAAAACCAGCATATTTACATGTTCATTTAATCAGCTTACAGCAGTTTAGCCCACCACATTAATGCCGAAGTTCTGAGTGTTTCAGCCCAGACTGCTTTTTGAATGGAGCACATTTTCAGGACAGCACTCATCTACATATAGCACTGTTAAAGGCACAGTGACAACAACAGCTTGTTTAATTTTAAGGCATAAAGAAAGGTGGAAATGTTATCATATAAACATGATTTAAAGGAAGAAAAATGTAAGAATGTGTCCAGTGTGGGCCCTTTAAGGGATTAAGATAAGTTTTGTTTATGATTGATATGCCCATTTTATTTGCTGCCTGGTTCTATTATGGTTATTTACATGTTAACATGTAAACAATTCGATAGCGTAATTTATCGTGTTTCATTTTAATCCATATTATGCTTGTCTGTCATAGACTGGGGAGGCCCACTTTATAAGATTGAAATTTAAACTGAATGCAAGTTTAAATATATTGTTCTGAAGTGCATTGATTTGTCTTCTCAGAGCTGTTTGGAGTTCAGTTTGAGGATCCAGGAATTTATCGAGCTCATTCGACAGAACAAACGCATGGATGCAGTAAGGTACAGCAGCAATGAGAATACAAATGCCTCTGTAACCAAGTGGTCTGCATTTTTATTAGAAATGAACCCATGCCCTTTTGCAAGAAGTAATCGTCCACTAGAGCATTTATATCCGTGTTCTAATTGTATCCAGATATTGTTTGTTATCGAATGACTATTTGAAAAGAGGCAGTCTGAGATAAAATAACCTCTGTTTGTCCTAGACACGCGCGGAAGCACTTTAGCCAAGCAGAAGGTGGGCAGCTTGATGAGGTACGACAGGTGATGGGCATGCTGGCCTTCCCTTCTGACACTCACATTTCCCCATACAAGGTAAGGTTTCTGTCCTTTTCTGTTACCGAACTGATGTATGGAACTATGGTTTAGCTGTCAAGAGATGTATATGGTTTTAGGTATGGAGGAAAAAGTGATCCATTTTGATTAAGATTGTTGTGTCTCGTAGGACCTTCTGGATCCAGGTCGCTGGAAAATGCTAATCCAGCAGTTCAGATACGACAACTACAGATTACACCAGCTGGGGAATAACTCTGTGTTCACCATCACTCTACAAGCAGGACTGTCTGCCATCAAAACCCCGTATCCTTCCAGCAATAGTCTTAATAACCTTCGTTACTGTTTCATGTGTGTACAGAACATTGTTGGTCATGAGTAAATATTAGGGGTGTGAATCTTTGAGCTGATAGTGAATCATTTCGATTCACTGGTTCTCGACTTGATTCCAAGTGATATTTGTAAATGAAGAACGATTCTATTAGATTCAGTACGCTAAACAGCGTTTTGGTTTGGTGATTTCATTCAGCAGTTAAAGCACCTTTAAAAATTCTGTTCAATAAATATCGATAGAATTCAATGGACTAAAAAATTTCCCCTCATATTTCTCAGGCAGAAACAGTGCTGACTAACAATGATGCACACAAGCCAGAGATAGCATGGAAAAAACAAAACTTTAATGTTGGCTCATTAAAGTGATGTAGCCAGATTATTTTTAAAGGTAACGTCTGCAGTGTCTGCACACTGAGACTAAGTCAGTGGTCCTTGATGTAGGAGCTGCAAAATCATTTTTTGGAGGGTCATGAGGTGGTGAGGTGGAGAAAAAAGAAGATATATTTTTGGTAAGACTAGAATTTTTTTTTTTTTCATAAAATTTTCCAAGTGTATCACAGAAATGATACTGTGGCAGCACCTTTTTTGCTGCTCTCAGTATAAGGAGAGGATGTTGTGGCGGTGAGGCCAGTTGTTTTGTGAGTTTGCATTCAGTACACCTAGCGCACTGTGTGCTATTTCCCAGTAAAGAGCTTCTTTTGGGTTCACTGCAGCATCTCCTCCTTCATTCTTCACATTACCTCTACACTTTCATACTTTAAAAGCAAAAACAGAGTGACTTGCAGGTAATGTGCAAGTACAATTGTATGAAAAAGTGTCCGTGTTGTGAGGTTGAGCCGCTTTCAGCTAAGCAGCTAACTCTTTATGTGTATCAGCTTTGTGATTACTAGCCGACTACACTACTGAGAATTCCCATATGGAACGCTGGCTTGTCAGATTCTGATTAAAATATGTAGTGGTGGTTTGGTTTGTTTATAATCAGCAGAACCTGGTTAATGGTTTGTAAATGTTTGCCTTTGGACACTCTTATAGCCATTCACGTTCTATAATGCACTGCTCGGGGTAGAATATCTTTTTATTGTTTTGAATAACACATTTGTTTAAACAAGTTTGTTTTGTTAATAAATTACAGTTTGTAGCAGTTAAAATGTTTTTTTGAGTGATGCAAAGGATTCAGTACATAAGTTTATAAATTCTTTTTATAGTCAATGCAGTTGCTTGGGGCGGTATTACAAAAGATGCATCGAGGAATGAAACAAGTTGTTGCACCTGTTATCATTCTCTGTACAATAACAATTGTCTTGAAATGAGTCATTCAGAACAACAACGTGATTGCGGCGGAGCTCTCATCAGCGCCGCTGCCGCACATGGTTCCTTTTGTACATTAAAATCAGTGTTAGTTGTTGCTCTTAACTCACTGTTCACAGGCAGTGTTACAAAGAGGACGGAACCTCCAAAAACCCAGATTGCCCTGTATGCAGCAAGTCCCTGAACAAGCTGGCTCAGCCCCTCCCCATGGCCCACTGTGCGAACTCCCGTCTGGTGTGTAAAATCTCCGGTGAGGTCATGAACGAGAACAACCCACCCATGATGCTGCCTAATGGCTACGTTTATGGCTACAATGTGAGTAGAGAACTGTTGGATGAGCATCTGTTTTTCTTTTCTTCTCTCGTTGTATGAGCGCTCTTAATCGCGCAGCTCACTGACCTCTTTTGTTTTCCTTCTCTCTGCAGTCTCTCTTGTCTATTCGCCAAGACGACAAGGTGGTGTGCCCCAGAACCAAAGAAGTCTTCAACTTCTCCCAGGCTGAGAAGGTCTACATCATGTGATGAGACCTCCAGGGGGTAGTTCTTGGTTCTTTATGACACCGCCCTGGGCTGGACAAAATCCCAGCGTGACACCTCTAGTCCAAGGGCCTCAGTTCCCCAGCCCGTACTCCACAAGACTGAATTCAGTTGTCGACATGCCCTCTACTGGCCTGCCAAACCTTCACCGAGCGAAAGGTTTAGAATCAATTTGGAGGTTTTACAGCGCAACTGAACGGTGAAGAATAGGGAAGAAAGTATGTCATTTGAAAAGGCTGATATTTTGGCATTTCCTTTACTTGGTTCTTTACAGTTGTATGACGAAGACAGAAGGACATGGCTCAATATCATATTACATCTGAGAGCTTCTGCCTTTTTAGTGTGTTTAAAAACCTGACTATTCGTTGGTTTTGATCAAGGGCACCCATTTTGCACCCCTCTTTTTAGGCAGATTGTGATGGGGTCATTAATAGGGATACATTTCCAATGCCTTGCCTAAGCACCTGTGAAATCTGTTACCACTTAAAATTACTTGATACTGGCACATTTTGACAAATGAGCTCATTGTCATTGCAGTTACCTGTTAGAAAGTACAGTAGCATAATTTGCAATACTTCTCACTAATTCTTGGTTGATGTAACTAGGTGTAGAAAGACATCACAATCTGTAGGTAGCTGTAGTGAAGGGTTTGATATTAGCCTACATTTTACATTACATGCTGTGTTAGCTCTATCAGTGACTGGTATCATCATCATCATCATCATATGCAGTACATGTATCTAGGAAAGCAGCATCTCACGATCATGACCAAAGTCAAACTTGTTAGGTCAAGTGTAGCAGGATTGCATTGTGACCAATAAGTCTTAAGGTTGCTTTGTAAGGAATTCTGTATGTTACCATTCAAAACATGGTCATCGTCTTTTGTGGCACTATCCGTGACTTCATGCCAAATTTAGTGGTGTTTTTGGGATTAAAGACGAATGCATTCATTTACCAAAGCAGTCTGTGTTGTCTGGATCTCAGGTTAGATCACATCATACACAGTGCATTAATATGGTCTGACTCAGTATGTCCTCATACTTAGCAGGACCATTGTAGGTTACTTCCCATTTCCCTGCATAGGCTGTCTTCCTATTTTGTGTTAGGTCTTAACGATAAGCCGTACATGGGTTTGAGATTGATCTAGTTCTCTTACATAGTCTTAATTCATTCGATTACCTTTTTAAAAGTGTGCTTCAGATAATCATTTCGTGATAATTTCCAACAAAATAATTATTTTTTTGTATTGCTCTTCAAGCACACCTTTTCTATTTCAAAGCTCACAGTTTCTCAGATTTCACAGGAGCAACTGCAGGTAACTGATGGGTATTCTATGAGCACCCAGACCCTATTTTTTTAAAGCACACCACCATTTTTTCCTTTGTATTAGCAAGTTGCTTCCAAATGTGCTATTTTATTGTAAGTGTGGAAAGGCTACTTAGATACTGCTCCTGCATGTGTATATTCTTAGGGTAGTTGGGTTGTTAATGTTTAGTCACTAATAAAAATTTATTTGATTAAACACTGGCCATGTGTCTGGTAATGCCTGTAGAAACACAGTCCATTTCTTAAAGGTTACAAACATTTGGAAAACTTAATTGAATCATGATAATGGCAGTAAATTGCACTGACTGATCGACTGTATGATATAATATTTGTATATGATTTCAGAGTTCAAGTACGGGTCTCACTTTTGATTTGTTCTGAGTTAGAAAGGGGGGAAAATGAATAGCACTCTGGATGGGCCATACAATTGATTTCCTTTTATATATAATATCCTGTTACCAGTACTGGTACTGATACTTCAAAACAGTCTTTGTGCATGTAAAAAGGGGCAATCTTTGTACTGTGGAAACCAGTGATTTCAGACAAAAAATCAATAATTATGTTTGGGCATCTTTGCATTAATATTAACCCTTTACTGCATGGTGCTGTCATATGGCCACAATGAATTTCTTTTCAATTTTGCTCATCTACAATGTAAAATTCTCTCTTTATTTTAATTTTTTTTTGAGAAACTGAAACGGACCTTCCTGTTCCAGTCTGTGCTTTTTTTAATCACATTACAACACAGGATGAAATCTAGAGTTTAACCCGCTCCCTAACTTCAATAAAACAATTGTAAACTTTTTTGCAGAAATAAGGCCAGTTTACATGCTGTGGATTTATATAGTATGATAAAATATAGCCGTTGCCATATGGCAACAGCATGCAACAAAAGAACTGTCACATTGGACACTAATGTTCACATGATTTTATTTATTTTTTTCAATATAACCATTTTTTAGACCTTACTGTATTGTAAAAAAAAAAAAACAAAAATACACAGTACTCCCTGAAAACATGTTTTCATTTGTATTTCATAATTCATGCAGTAAAAGGTTAAATAAGCAGACCATTTATAGCCACATCTGGCGTTACTGTCTCAGGTGGCTATATATGTGAGGAGTGCGAACAGAGGGCTGAAGGAAAAGTAGTTCCTATTGTACACATATTTTCTACAGTCATTTTCCAAACATACAGTCACCTTTTTAGCCTTAATTACATGTTCATTTTCATTTAAAAAATAGATATTTAGTTTACTGCTTAAAGAAAACACTCTAAAACATTTGTGTGAGGATCCGTTCTCAAAAAGAAACATCAGGATTAGAGTTATCGATACTCCAGTATCAATCCGCCCGTCCCTGAACACAATACACTATATGGACAAAAGCATTGGGACAACTACACGTTAAACCTACAGGAGCTTTTATGACTTCTCGTTCTAAATCCATAGGCATTAATATGGAGTTGGTCCCCCTTTGCAGCTATAACAGCTTCCACTCTTCTGGGAAGCTTGCTACAAGATTTTGGGGAGTGTGTGTGGGAATCTTTGCCCATTCATCCAGAAGAGCATTTGTGAGGTCAGACATTGTTGGATGAGAGGGCAATCTTCATTCCAGTTCATCCCAAAGGTATTTGACAGGTTTGAGGTCAGGGCTCTGTGAGGGCCAGTCAAGTTCATCCACACCAAACTCACCCAGTTGTGCCTTTATGGACTATGCTTTGTGCACTGGGGCTCAGTCATGCTGGAACAGAAAAGGTTCTTCCCCAAACTGTTCCCACAAAGTTGGAAGCTACAATTGTCCAAAATGTCTTGCTCTGCTGAAGCATTGAGATTTCCCTTCACTGGAACTAAGGGGTTCTAGGCCAACCACTGGAAAACAACCCCATAGCATCATCCCTCCTCCACCAAACTTTACAGTTGGCACAATGCAGTCAGGCAGGTAACGTTCTCCTGACTTATCCATCAGACTGCCAGATAGAGAAGTGTGATTCATCACTCCACAGAATACGTTTCCACTGATCCAAAGTACAGTGGTGGCGTGCTTTAAGCCAGTCTTACACATTTTAAAGCCCAATTTGATCAACCTGGTGTAGCGGTTTGGCAATGGCTGAATCTAGCTTCTACACCAAAATGTTGCACTGTTTGTCCAGTATGGAACTCTGCACACGTGGCTGAATCTCAGAAGGTGATTTATTAGACATGTGATGCACTTTATGCAACTGTTTTAATATGTGGTGCAGTATGTTGGGAGCAGCCATTTGAGATTCAGCCAGTGTTTTGATCAGGACATCGGTGGCACAGCGTGTTGTTTTGTAGACAGCGTCTGTAGGGGCTGCGTTTCATGAGCAAATGAATCGCAGGCTTTGGCCGAACGCGATGTGCCATTCAAACGTACAGTGTGAGCTGTCACCAAAGAACAAGACTTCTAAAATCGCATAGTGTATACCTGGCTTTACACCGCTCACCAACCCCCTGCACTTATGACAAACATGACAGAATCACTGAACCACTGGCCGAGAGCACAGCAGGTTCGTCCGTTAGCTAGCTAGCTAGGTTAGCTGATGTTACTAGCTGTTTATGCGACACACCCGAGTTTCACCTTAAAATATGGCAACTAAGGGAAATCTTAGGGCACTGTTTCTGTTCATGTTTTGCATTCACGTGGAAAAGTAGTTTTAACTTTCACCTTTAGTACTTCTCACTGACTCTGCGTGGGCAATTTTACTAAATTATGTTTGGCTAACGAGCTAGCTTGCTAGCTTACGAGTTAGACATCAACACTGAGGTTTAGCGAATAAGAAGGCCATCGCAGCACAGCCTGGTTTGAAGCTGTGCAGACGGTTGTGGAGATACCCAAGGTAAAATATTACTCCAGTGAAAGCAGAAGTTCCTCCCTTTAGACCTCCACCTTAGTAAGAGTACAAAAGTATTTGCCTTCAAATGTACTTAAGTATCGAAAGTAAAAGTACTAAAAGATTAATTATGGCTCTAATGTCCTATTATCATTTTTGTAACAAGACTCGCTTCATTAACTCATTTTAGGTGAAAATGAGTCTTTTCAGTCTTTTAATAGAATGTCATTAATTAGTGACACTGATGTCAATTAAAATTATCATAAGCACAAAACAATGAAGACAAACCATCAGGTAGAACTGAGTGGCTCTGAAATAAATTTGCAAACAAGCAAAGTTTCAGTTTAAGATTTATTTGCAACTTCGTTACAAGTTTAGGTTTAATAAAAACTTGCTTTAAACACAGATTGATAAATGAGTTTCCTTTGCTAAACTGCATCTGTAGGTCTCTGTTCATAAACATAAATATAGCAAAAACTACTATAAAATGAAAGTGTTTGTATAAATTGAGGAAAAAGACACGCCAGTCACAACTGCATATGTGTACATATTTCTATATTGTGGTCTGTTTACACAAAGTTAGGTTAGTTCATCATTTATGTTGAATAGACACTCCCAAAATTTTACGCTGCTGCACTGACGTTAAACTGTATGCTTGCACTGGGTCGGTATGACCAACAGGTCAAAACAAGCTCAAAACAAAGTGCGCCCTGTGCCCTGATTGGTGTTCTTCCTTCACGCTTCTTTCATTTTGACGTGTTACGTTTTTATACACACAAAAGCCAAAAGGAACGACAGATTTCACATAATGTAGTGGAGTAAAAAGTAAGATATTTGACTTTGAAATGTAGTGGAGTAAAAGTAAAAAGTCACCCAAAATGAAAATACTTCAGTAAAGATATACAAAAAAACTACAAAAGTACAGTAATGAATTACATTTACTTCGTTACTGTCCACCACTGGTCCCCAGCGTGAAAAAATGTGAAATGCAATGAAATGCACGTTAACTTGTTTTCCTGACGCTTGACCTGTTTACTGAAAATAAATATATGAAGATTTAGATTTAAAAAACAAAATTCTAAACTGGCATCAGAATTGAATACAATCCACCTAGAAATGTCATGACTTTACATCTACAAGGTGGACCAACAAGGTAGATGTGTCTAACAGAGTGGACAGTGAGTGGACACAGTGCTTAATTCCAGTGTCTGATCCATTCATACCAGCACCACACACATACTAACATGCCACCACCACATCAGTGTCAGTTCAGTGCTGAGAATGATCCACCACCCAAATAGTAAATGCTCTGTGAGGGTCCATGGGGGTCCTGACCATTGAAGAACAGGGTGAAAAGAGTCTAACAAAAAAAAACAAAAAAAAAACAGTAATGCTCTGTGCCTTGTGATTCACATTTATCCACTGTAGTGTTTGCATTTCAATTGGGCACACATTCTCCATACAGCGAGTCACCTGATTCACAGTTTTAACAGTTGCTAAGAAGCATTTTTCAGTGCCAGTTTCACTTTTTGAAAACTCTTCACACTCCTGTCTGCAGAGACATGCAGCTCGGCACAGCAGTTCATTTAATACCCAAAGTGCTCGACAGCTACTAAAGCACTGCAGAAACATCAGCTCTAGTTTGTTTTGCATTGTTTCATTGAAAGCACTTATTTGAGCTGAATAGAACCAGTTAAATTACTCGTTACCACGTGATTTTTTAGGTTGAACTAACAAACCATTTTTACAGTGAATGAAAAAACCCCTTTTACCAGAATGGTATATTTTTATTCTGTAGTGACTTTCCTTGTGGCTGTGTGGAA